ATATATATAATAACTAACACAGTTACAGTAATAGTTTCTATTAGTTTATTGAAAAGAAAGATTTGTGTTTATACTGTTGGATCAATTATTCATGACTATGTTTTAGAATCTGAGCAAATACTTTGAAGAAAACAGCACACGTATTAGCCATTGTTGTTCTCTTATTTTGAAATTGTGTATCATTTTTATTGTTTTTCTCATTAAAAAATACTTTTAAAGGGGGGAAGAGCAAAGATGGTGGATTGATAACAACTGTCTACAGAAACTCCCTGGGGTAGTCAACTTGGAATTCAACATAATACAGAGTGGGGAGCCTCAAACAGAAGGAGATGAATGCTGTCATCCTAAGAAGAAATTAAGACTGACCATCCAAGGTCCCACTGTAACTAGCTGACACTGTGACTTGCCAGGGTCCTGCTGTGACATGCCGAGAGGTCACGCTATGACTGGCCGGAGTTCCCCCGTGACTTGCTGGGGTCCCAGCGACTTGCCGAGTCGTCCGAGGTCCTGCCGCTTTGACTCACTGGAGGTGCAGTTACATTGAGTTCAGGGGTCAGTGAGCCAAATGGAGAGCTGAAGTGGCGGAGAGCCTACATTGACCTGTGGTGACTGACAGGAGTGGAGCCATTCCATAAATAGGGGGGCCCTGGTGGACTGGCAAGTACAAGGGGTAGTAGTGACTTCCGTCAATTGTTCCTTTCCTGAACGGGATTGGTGGAGTGAGCTAGACCTGGGTCATGTGACCTGGCGGAGACCCAATAGGTTATCCGAGGTCAAGTCCCTGCAGTGGTGGAACACACTAACCACACTGGCCCAGTGGGGCCTCGGAGGTATGGCTGGTCCAGAGAGAGGCAGTGCAAAGTAATACAGTAGTGCAGGCCACAGCACATATTAGCTTGACTAATCTGTAGGGGAGAGGCCAGCATACGCTGTCCTTGTCTGTACCTCACTAGCACACAGCAGTGGGAATGGTCATCTAGCCAGCGTGCTTTGTTGTAACCAACAAAGAAAGAAACTGGGGCCTCCTGGAAGAAGCAAAATAAGATGGGAAGAGGAAGTAACAACAAACAGTCCCCAGGTCCGAACCCTAAGAACATTGACCCAGGACAAGTAAATACAAATGAAAATGAGAACAGCAAACATGCAATATCAGACACAGCGCCAGTGGACGTAAAGAGATATATTTGGGACCTTATAGATGAGTTCAAAAGTGAGATTTTTAGCCAAATAAAGCAAGATATAAGAAGATTAATAAGGGGCTGGGGACTTAGTTCAGTGGCATAAGCACCTGCCTTGCAAGCAGGGGGTCATGAGTTCAACCGCCAGTATGGATTAAAAAAAAAGAAAAATAATAAAAGAGATAGCACCCCTCAAAAAGACACAGACGGAAGAAGGGAGGAATTCAAACAAAGGAGAGACCCATTTTGTGAAGAATATAAAAAATATATAGAATACAAGAAGCAGATTCAAAGAGATCACCAGGAAATTAAAAACTCTATAGAAAGATGGCAAATCAGCTTGAAAGAAACTAAGAATAGATTATCCAAACTGGAGGACAATTTTGCAATGTGGGAGTATGAAAGGGAAAACTTTTTAAAACCAACAAGGAAACAAGCAGTAGCAATACAAAGGCTAGAAGATGACAAAAAGATCTATAACTTGACAATAAAGAATGTAAATGAAGAATCTGGGATACAAACAAAGGAACTACAAAGGTTATTCACAGAAATAATTAAGGAAAACTTCCCAAACATAGGAAAAGGAAATCATATTCTGATATATAATGCATATAGAATTCCATCCACCTACAACCAAAACACAGCTATACCCAAGCATATAATATTCAAGATCCCAGAAATTCAATATAAGAACTGAATATTAAAAGCTATTAGAGGGGCTGGGGATTTAGCTCAGCAGCATAAGTGCCTGCCTGGCAAGTGCGAGGTTGTGAATTCAATTCCCGGTACCAAAAAAAAAAAAAAAAAAGCTATTAGAGACAAGAAACAGATAATGTACAGAGGAAGGCCCATCAGAACAATGGCAGATTTCTCGACACAACCATTAAGTCAAGAAGAGCCTTGAGTGAAATATTCTAAGCCCTGAAAGAAAATAACCTCCAGCCCAGATTGATATACCCTGCTAAACTGTCTCTAGAAATTAATGGAGAAACAAGATGCTTCCAAGACAAAGAGGAACTTGGGAAATTTGCAATCACCAATCCAACTCTACTGAAGGCATTCTAGAGAGAGAGAAAAGTACTAGGATTCCAGGAACAGTGGCAGAGAGGCCTCAATGAATGGAGCAGAAAACAAAATGAAGAAGATAAGCAGACAACTGATGGCAAAAAAGAGCATAACAGAAGTGAGGCAGAGATTTTATTCAAAACTGATATGATTGATAGTATCAAGTCTGAGAGTATAGGCAACTACACTGAAGATGACAAAGGTCAACGATACACATTCTGGTTTGATAACTGCCAGTTTTTGAAGTTCTATACTATATACAAAGTTGTGTTTTTATTAATACTGTTATGTACTGACATGTTCAATTACACTATATCTGATGATATAGCCAATTCTATTGCAGATAACAAGAGACAACACAGGAACTATGGTAGAACAATTCGTACAATGGTCTTACATGTTTATTTTACATGTTTATTTCATGTGTTTATAGGAATATGTTTTGTTTTGCCTTGCTTTGTTTTGTTTCTCCCTCTAATATAGAAAGGATAGAAATACATTTTTAAGACTCATGCATGTGTAGAATCTATAAACAGTTTATGAGAACTGATCTTATGACAACTGATGAAATGAACAGATACTTTGAAGAAAAGGAGACACTAAAATACCCAGTGCTAATCCTGGAGTGTCATAATGCGAAACCCAGAAATAGTATTATTCTTTGTTCAGAGTGATATTAGCCTGCTTGGGTTTATTGAAAGTCAACATAATTGTAGATATGGGTAACTGCATATATGTTTAAGCATAGAGGATTGATAACCATATTTCTAAGTTTTGTTGGATAGTTGAGCAGAACTGGTTGCAGTCTCACTGTTTGAATCCCCACTTTATATGCTCCAATTTAGTATCTTGAGTAACTATTTGTAAGAAGACAATCTGTAATCATCAACTAGTGATTTCTTAGTTTATTTTTTTCTTCAAAATTATGTATTATTTCTACCTGTTTTCTGTTATGTTTAATCTTTCTTTAAATTAAATTTTTAAAAAAAGACACTACAGTACCCAGTGTTGATCATGCAGTGTCATGATGTGAAATCCAGCAATACTATTATTCTCTGTTGAGAATGATTTTAACCTGCTTTAGTTTGTTTAATCTAAACAAAAATGAAGATATGGATAACTGCATGTATGTTTAAGTGTATAGGATTGACAACCATGTTAGTAAGTTTGTGTTGGACAGTTGAACAGAACTGTTTGTGGTCTCACTGTTTGAATTCCCACTTTACATGTTCCATTTTTGTACAATGACAATATATAAACATCAAGTAGTGATTTCTTACTGTTCATTTTCTTCTCTGAACGTATGTATTATTTCTACCTATTTTCTCTTTTGTTTAGCCTTTCTTTAAATAAAAGTTTTTAAAAACTACAAAAAATACTTTAAAAAATATAATACAGTTTAAAAAATTTGAAAGAGAAAATTCAAAAGTCACAGTCACTGCAGTAGTGGGACCCATAACTGTGTTTACTATCATGTGGTCTCTTATTAATCAGTCTTCATAAAGTTATTTTATATTCTTAAAATTTTGTGTTACCCTCCTTCTCTGGCTCTTACACATATATAATTGAAGAAATCATAATCTTTAGTTCATGACAAACCTTATATAGTGTTCATGTAAGACCCTATTTACTTACTTAAAATACTGTAAAATCTCTCTTAAATTCAGCAATCAAATGTTAAAAGCTTGCCTATAAACTGTATCAAATACTGCATCTTCTTTCCCAGGCCACTGCATTTGCTTATTGAAGGTGATTCAAAAACATTTTTAACATTACTTCACCATATGTAATATTTAGATAGATAGATATAGATATATATGAGATTTTATATGTCCCTAACATGAATATGGTTTATTCATGACTTTATAAAAGTTAAGCATATGCCATGTATCCTTTTGGAGTTTTTTTTAACTTAATAATTTTATTCTAAGTTTTATTTCAGTCACTTAATCTTTGCATAATAAACTGTTATATTCTTCTACTCCTTGCTAATCTGTCCTCATTTAGGTGGACTTTTGGGTGCTTTCTTTATATTCTGCATAACTTTTACTTTCAATAGTTTCATAATATTTCACCAATTTCTTTAATCAGTTTTCTGTTTTTAAAGTTTAGTTGCTATACTTTGTTCTATCAGTCAAAGTTTGGATGAGTCCCTTTATACCAACAGATTTTCTGCACTGTACGTTATACCTTAGAAAACTAGAGATTGAATTTTTAGTCCAAAAGATAGAAACATGATTTATAATTGCAATTGGCTGACTGTCAGTAATTGTATAATGACTGATGCTCTGTAAATACTGCCATCTGATCTTCTTTATTAATTTAAAATATTTATTTTTTGTTGTTTAGAGCTTATTGACTTTGATCAATTAAAACTTATATTGAGATTTTACCATGAGATATCTGATGCAGAATTTTATCTTCTGATCTGCTAAGTTTTCATCTAATAGACACAAGACAAGGAAGCAAGAGTGCCTTAAAACCAGGTTTGAAAATATAGTTTGAGATTCTGAAAGTAATATATTACCAGTAAGCACTGGTTGCTACTACAGTGATTCTGACCCTGCAAATAAGAAACCTAAAGTTCTAAGAGAATGAATAATTTTCTGAAAATTATTCAGTTAATTTTCCATCACATTACATTGCTTTCCCATTGATCAAGTGTCAAGAGGACCCTTGAAACTTTATTTCATTTTCATTTCAATAACCTCTAAATTCCTGTATGATGTACAGTTTGGTTTGCAATATAATACTTACATATGCACCTGTTGTTTAAGATTGATTTTTTCCAGGAGGCACTATCTGCTTTCCTTGTTGATCCTTCTCTCTTGAATTCACCCCTCACAATGCACTGAGCAGTTCTCCGATACAGGCTTGCTTCGCTGACTTGTCAGAAGTCTCCTTTCACATTGGAGACACTTCCTTACCACTCCTGAAATTGAAGTATTATTAATTATATAGTTTCAGTATCTTACTTTTGACACACTCTTTTTCTCATGCCCCTGCGCTAAGCAGTGTTAACTGCTGTTTAAATCACATTGTTGCTGCCTTAGTTACTTTCTGCTTGCTGAGACACAATCTCTCACACTCACAGTTTAAAGAAGAGATTTATTTTGGCTCCCAGTCTGAAGAGGTTTCAATCCATAGTTGGCTGGCTCCAAGGCCAGGCAGAGTGAAATGGAAATGGCAGAATGGAATTGCTCAAAGCATGACAGATGGGCAGGGGACAGACAGACAGACAGACAGACAGAGACAGAGAGACAGAAAGACAGAGAGAGATCCTTAAAATCCACACCTCCTTTGACCCATCTCCTCCAACCAGACTTTACTTCCCAATACATTTAGCTATAAACTTATCAATGAGCCAATCTATTGATAAGTATCACACTGCAACAATCTAATCACCTTCCCAAAGCCTCACTGATTGTGCATGAAGCTTTGGGGAGACAACTAGGTATAAACCATAAGAGAAATAATACACACTACTGTGCTTCTGTCATTTACGTAAAGTTTTGCCACAACTTTTATACTCTGGGAATTATCCCAATGCACAGCTGATAGAAACGAGAACAGAACGTTTCATTTTCAGAACCGCCCCACCACCCGTCCCCGCCCCGGGAACATTTGCCAGGCACTTAGACACATAGTCACTCTCCTGTCAATCACCACAGCTACGATGATCTTAGCTCAGCCTGGTTCATCCCTGATGGAGCAAACACATATTATTTAACCCTCGTTCCTGCTGATTAAAGTCGGTAATTTCCCCCTCATAGCTGCAAGTGTCCACCTTTTCCCTCCAGTCTGAGGTGCCTGACCATCACTCCTCTGGCTTTCCTATAAACAATGATACACAGAGAGACCTCTGAGTGGGCCGTCCACTGTAATGCAGTACTGGACAAGTTCAACTTTATCCTATCATTCTTGACCCTCACTTGGAACAATTAACTTTTGCTGCAGGTTTGGTAAGTAGAAGTGAGCCTGTGTGGCCTGTTCTCCTGTTTTCTCCTCCTGACAGAGCAGTGTCTTTGGCTATAGAAAGATGCATCTCCATAGATGCATCAGATAAAAGCTTCTCCCCATTTTGCTCGGCGGCTGAACCACAGAACACAATGTTTAGTTAGCAAAGCATTTCGCTGTATTAAATACATTCTTTCTTTACAGCCCTGACGGAGTATGCATTTCCAGGAACATGGGTTGATTTTATGAGCACAAAAGATGGAAAATGAAGCCTTTAACGCATTCTTTTTAATGCTTAGGCTACTCTCCACTGTAACACATAATGCGTTTTCTCAAGGACTTTTCTGTATTTTACAAACGAAAGTGGAGGACATTTGGTAGACGTGGAATTTGACTCACAGAAAGCTAAAATAACCACACTGAGGTCAAGCAGTTAAGCTCCAGGCAATTTTGCTCAGAACCTTGACCTTCTAACTATCCTTTGCTCTGACATTATGTAGAATGATTTTTTTAGAACTCAGCCAGAAAGAAGAGTTTTCACCTGACATTTGATAATAAACTGTTGCCTCCTTATCTTGATATACAAACTCTTAGCTGTCAATGCTAAGAAAAGATATCAAGGAAGAAGTTCCGCTCTGTTGAGCACTATCACAGCGACAAACGCTACAAGCAAAGCAGACCATTTGCCCATTTGCACTGTTAAATTCTGAGAGTTGTGACTTTCTTATGGATTATGAGTTAAAGTTTCAGTTTTGAAATTTGCTGTTTGCCTCTGGTTGACACATTGTGTCAAGTTGAGTAGTTTAGAAGTGTAAATGAGAAATTCATCAGGGAGCCAGGGTTATGGCTTTGTAAATATCCTCAGCCTGTGCCAGAGGAGGGCAAGGAGATTTTGTGAGTGCTACACCCACCCTGAATGGTAGAGGAGGTAGCCTGTGTACAGTATAAGGGAGGAGAGGCTTGCTTTCTCTCTTGTTTTTGCTCTGGCTGTTGCCTTGAAGTGCTGCCCCAGTGCCATGCCACCCTGCCTTGGAGCCAGCTGAGTATGGACTGAAACCTCCACAACAGTAAGCTAAATAAACCTTTCCTTCCCTAATTCTGGGTGTCAGGAACTTTCGTCTCAGCAAGGAGAGAAAATAAACCAAGACAGTCTCTCATATTTTTCCTTAAATTATGTATAATCCACTGATTATAGTTTTTGGAATAAATTTAAAAACTAAAACCTTACTTATTGCATAATGAACTTAAACAATGTCCACAATAGTACTTTTCCAACCACACCTAACATTGTTCCCATGGAAGAAATTATTTCAAGATCCAGACTTCCACAGCAAGATCACTTCAAAAACAGATAAGACTGTTTGTGACAGGAGTAGCAGATGCATTAGAAAAAGTCCAGGTGATAGAAAAGCTGGAGAAGGGCACAGCTCTTCCTTTGTTTTTTCCACAGTATAACTGACATTTTTGTCCTGTCTGCTTGAAGGATGCCAGAAACTCCACAGCTTCTCTTCTGAACCAAGAGATGAGAGGGTTCTCTTGCAAATAGAGTTGTGGATGCCAACCACCTTTCCTTCCAAATGCAGACCTGCACTTTGTACAAGAGAGCAGTCTCTTTGCTGGTGGGACAAGACCCAAGGTAGCACACAAGAAGGAAGTATAACAGAGAAAGAAGACAGAGATAGTATGTCAAGTCCACAGCCTGGGTGAGGACCATCTTAATTTGTAGTAGAAAATACACTACTGGTTGCCATGCTAAGAAGGCATAAAAGGAATGATGAGAGTGAGCAAAGCCGTGTCTTTAGTGTTTAATTAAGAAACTCTGCTTATGTCCTATCTTTCCACACCTGTGAATGGAATATATTGAATTCAGTGGTTTTCAGTGCCTTTTTAGCTTCCATGTGCCATCTTGTGCTACAAGCATGCACAAACAGAACAGTGCAGGAGAGGAAGTGAACACAGCATAGTGATGGACTAAGTTTGGAGAGATGCGAGTCTGCTAAGAAAGTGATGCTAAGATGCTGTGAGTGGGGCAAAGCCCAGCTACAGAGAAGAGAGAGTAAAGTGGGTAGCGGTATCTAGAAATGACACAACCCACATTCCTCAAACACCACTGCTTGGAGGGTAGCATCATGAAGGACCTGGCACCAAGTACCAGAGCTGAACCAGTCCATGTTCCACACCCTCTGGCCGCTGGTCAGGATTTATCTTGGCGAATACAGTGGCCATGAGCTCACAAGCACCAAGCAAACACCATCAGATCCTATTATGTAGTAGCAAAGTTTTCAAAATTACTCCTACTCTGTTTTTCAATTTTTTTCCTGGGTTGCTTCCTTTTGGCTCTGATTTTGCCACATGTTGCTGAGAATTATCACCATCCTGAGGCATAACTTCTGAGGGAATCCAGTCACAATCCTTGGGAGTGATGGGATCAAGATACAGTGGACTGGGGGTCACTATGAGAGAAAGCGCATAGCAGAGTGACTGAAATTAGACTAACACTAGTTATCCTTGTATCATATTATTATGAAATCTTTTTAAAATTTGTTTCATAAAAATTTACAACACCTAATTTTTTACTTTGTGGAAAAAATAAAACAAAATTTCATATCAAAATAATAGAAGAAAAACAATAGTTAGATCACCTAATTTTTTAATCCAAATATAGGATTAGGTTACATGACCTCGCTGCACGGAGATGGTAGATAGATTAGCAAATAAATTTAATTTACTTAGTTGTTAAATGAGTGTGTACACTATACATATCCAAAAGATTATGAATAGTTATTGTATTGTAACAATTATCAATAAAAATTTACTGTTTTTATCAATTATCTTAAACATATCATTTTATAATTCTACAGTTCAGTTTCAAAAACTCTTTCAAAAGTCATAAGAATAATTTTGTGAAGTCAAATATTCTCTCAAGGCCAAATAAAATCTTAATGTCCTCCCAAAAGTAACTGAACAAGAAATTTCATTGCATTTTAAAAGAATTATTATTATAATAAATTACTAGATCCTCAGGTACTTATTGATTATATCTTCCGAAGTAAAATGAGAGGAAAGCAGATAAGAATGAAATTTATTTAAATATGTTGGTATGTTGTGTCTTGAATTATTCCAGTGTTTTAAATCAGTTTCTGTTGATTTTGTAGAAATAATCTTAGAAAATATTTTGTATATATCATTACAATAAAGAAGGTGATGATTGATGGGACTTTATTGTACTATTGAACCTATGCTATTCTTCAGTAAGTAGATGATTGTCTATCAGTTAAAATCAAAAGATCAGAAATGGAAAGTAAATAAAAAATCATGGTTTGTTGCTAAAACTTGGAAAGAATAATAATATTACAAAGAAACCGAACAAGTCAACCAATATGGAAAATAATTTAACTCTAAGCACACATTTTTCAGCATATAAATATTTGAGATTTCCATTTCCAAATTTCCTTTAATCAACATTAGCAGCCAAGAGGACTGCATGGATATTCATGGACAGTGACACATAGGGTCCAGGAAGCTCAGCCTCACATTTAAAATTTTAAAATACACACATTTTAATAACTAATATAGTAGGTGAAAGTTTTGATAATGTCTGATACATAATTATAGACTGCAGTGTAACAATCATCTCCACCATATTTGAGTAAGCAAGACATTCAGTAGAAATAAAAGTCATGTTTTTCTATTGAATCTGACAGGAGCTACAATACCAAAGAGAACAGAAGTGGAAAATAGAAACATGAAATTAAATTATAAAAAAAATGTTCAATTATAAAATAGTCATGTCAAATTCAAATGGAAAGGCTCTTTAAAACTTCTAATGCGTTATATGTGAATTTCACTGTCAGGTGATGATGAAAGCATGGCGTCATTTGGGTCCTGGGCCTGCAGGATGGGGAAAGTGAGGCGAGTTCTTATGAAGAATCTAAAGTGAAGCCAAGCGCAGTGGTGTACACCAACCTCAACTAC